CGGCTTCGCTGCTCTGAATGGCTAGTGTCACAGCCCGACGTCTTGGTGTAAATCTCTCCACGCGGTGCCTGTCTTTTGATGTAGTTTCTGGCCTACGTCCGCGTTTGGTGGTTGTGCTGGTTCCGCGCGGAGAGCGCTCTCCGCATGGATGAGGCCAGCTATGCAATCGCATCAATGTGAGAGCTGGTCACTACGAGCCTGAAACCGTGTACTTTATGCCGTGCTTCGCGCCAGAATAGCGGTAATCGTTTTTACAGTGATCGAAAGACATGGCAAACAGAAACGGGAATGCCAATCTCAAGCCGCAAGCCGCGGCGGCCCTGTCAAGCATGTCAAAGTCTCCTGTCCTGTTCAAGCCGATGGCTTCTTCGTTCCTTCCTCCCGCGCATCGCCCTCCGCCTATCCTTTCCAAAAACTTTCATTTTCAAGTTTATCTGACATGTCTCTTCTCCTCGCCATGCGCTGCTCACTTGTCGCTTTTGTCCTCGCCTCGACCGCTCTCGCGTACCAGGTCACCTCACCTAACGCCAACCAAGGCTGGACCAACTCCGGTGCTCAGCTGTACGTGGCATCGACGAAAATCGACATCCATCCATTCATCCTAAAGTAAAAAATGCGCTTCTTCTTGCAGTGTATCGTGGGAGCGTGTCTCAACCGACGCGTCCAACTTCACTATCCTCCTGATCAACCAGGTAAAGGAGGTGTTCGATTCGGCGTAGAGAAAATGGGTTTTCTGACCGTCTTTCGCAGAGCGACGACCAGAATTATTCGCAAGTCCTTGCCTCACTCGTCCAGGGTGGCCTCGGTACGATCAGCGTCAACGCGCCCAGCGGCGGCTGGCCCACCGGCTCAAGTTACCGCGTGAACTTGGTCAAGAGCGCTCAAGAAACTAGCACTATCTACGCTCAATCGCCCGAGTTCAACATCATTGCTGTCGCATCCTCCAGTGCTGCGTCTGGATCCAGTACGACCCTCTCGTCCAGCTCGAGCACGGCCGCGAAGTCGTGAGTTATAGTTGCGTGTTATGGCAACCTCACTGTTCTGATAATGGTTTGACAGCGGCGCGACCGCTACGGAGGTTACAAGCAACGCGGGTGCGTTAGCGAGTGCTTCTGGTTCCTCTCCGTCGGCCTCGGCATCCTCCAAGAGCAGCAGCAACGGCGCCATCTCCAATGTAGCGCAGAAGGGTCTCATTGGCCTCGCTGCCATCTTGGGCCTCATGATGCTATAACCCTCCGTTCGTTCTCGCTTTTGAGCGCAAGCAGTCCGTCGCAGCACCAAGCTGATAAAAGCGCGAGCATGTGACGGCTAGTCAACTTCTTGGACATCAGAACACTTTTCTCGCTTTCTATCTCTCTTCCGTGAATGTACCAACTCTCTTGTTGTTTTATGGCTTCATCTTGGTCTTTGGTCGTCCCTCCCCGGTTCACATCCGACCTTTTCTTCTGTCCTCTCCCATCACGAATAACTTGTTTTGTCTGCTCTTCTCCGCATTAATGGTGTCTTTCTCTTGACCACGGTGATTGTGGGTTCTGTCATGTGATCAGCATGGTATATTATGGCTTCCGGCGCGACAAGTACGTCTACTCCTTCTGCATGCCTCCGAGACACTCAACAAATTTCCTTTTGACCTGACGGTCTCGACCTAAATACTGCTATCATAAACAGGCAACTCTATCTCCGTCGACAGCGAGCTCGTCGCACGCTTGTGCGTTGGGCGTCGGATGGTCGCTGACGTGGTTGGTGTCTAACTAGCTGTTGGTTTTGGCTCTCGAACTGGTGAATGACTATGTCAGTACGTACATAGACGACATGCATATGACCGCTAGTTTATTTTAGTCATTTCAAAGGGACAGGCCAACTGGATCAGCGGAGGGCGATGTGCGAGAATTTGAATCAAGAAGTGTACATACTCTGATCTTTGACTGCATACACGCTGGCTGCCGTCTCGCCCGTCTTTTATAGAGGGCCTCCTCAGTCTTGCGCCACATACGTACCTAGACGCATACACAGCATGGACCTCGTTGATCTGGGCCGCCTATCAGGGCCGTACTGTCCTGTCGAAGAGTATGCGCCGCGTGTTGTTTTTGCTTGGTGAGTACTAGGTGAGTACGCAAGCTCACAGATGACAACGCTTATGGAGGAGCAGTACATAAAGTTTTGCCGCTCAAAAGTGGAGATGCTTCCCATCGCAAGGGCCAAATACCTGGTTCAAGTTCCAAAGGATTCAATGTGCCATACGTATGTATTCTATTTTATAACTCACTTAATATCTGTGTGTGCTCGATTGAATCGATGTCCCCTTCTTTGACATCGGCGAATATTTTCTGTTTGTCAACCAACTTGCGCACCGTGACGAAGTAGACTGGCAAAGTCGGGTTGTCACATGGCCGATACAGTCGCGAACGCTATATCGCCTGCAAGATACGATTGAACCAGCAGCTCTACTTATCATGATGCCCTTCCTTGAGACTACCACGGCTTCTGGTATCGCATAGGTGATCGATGGCGAAAGTCGTGTCGCATCGTCAGTAGCTGATTGTACTAGCTGTTGACGTTCATGAGTACGGCCACGCAAAGGAAAGCGAGACGCGTGTACGGGTGTGTCAAGCGCCACGTCGCGCTCAGGTCGCTGTATCAGCATGTTTGAAACGCTTATCGGCTACTGCAAGGCGGTGATCGTCTTCGCCGGCTGCTTCAGTGTCCGCCTCATATTCTGCATGGTCCCGTTCGCTCTCCTCCTCGGCGCCACCGGCTTTGCTAACAACACTGGATACTCGTGGCTCCGATCGCCTCGATTTATCACAGTCGATGTCTGCACCTTCTCGTAAAGTAAGTTCGCAGTTTGTTATTGGCATTGCAAAAGACCCAAGCAAGAGGATGTGTCGCGCGGCACAGGCCTGAGAACTAGCTACAACACGCTGTAGTCGCAGCATCCACATTTGTTCACTTCTCGAATCTCAATCGGCTACACACGATTTTCCACATAAAATGAAAGCCGACAAGGGAGGATGATTAGAGCACATACATGTTACACCAAGTATGTAAGCCGCGCCACTGCTCTATGAAACTGTGGTCTGTTGGTCTGGCAGCCCGACAGCCAGACGTCTTGGTGTAAATCTCAGCAGGCGAAACATCGGCCTAAACTGTCTTTTCATGTAATTTCTGGCGTACGTCCGCGTCTCGAGGTTGTGCTGGCTCCGCACGGAGAGCGCTCTCCGCATGGATAAGGCCACCAATGCGATCGCATCAATGGGAGATGAATCGATGACCTGACACGAGCCTGAAGCCGTGTACTTTATCATAACCTTATGCCGTGCTTCGCGCCAGAATAGCGGCAATCGTTTTTACAGTGATCGAAAGACATGGCAAACAGAAACGGCACGAATGCCAACCTCAAGCCGCAAGGCACGGCGGCCCTGTCAATCACGCATCATCGTCGAGGTCTACATCCTGATAGCGGCCTGTTTAAGCCGATGAGGAGGCCCAATAAATACTGGCTTCTTCGTTCCTTTCTCCCGCGCATCGCCCTTCGCCTGTCCTTAAAAAAACTTTCATTTTCAAGTTTATCTAACAGTCTCTTCTCTTCGCCATGCGCTGCTCACTTATTACTTTTGTCCTCGCCTCGACCGCTCTCGCGTACGAGATCACCTCACCTAACGCCGATGAAGGCTGGACCAACTCTGGGGCCCAAACGTACGTGCCATCGACCATAATCAATAGTCATTTAAAGAGAAAAATGTGCTTTCGGTCTTTGCAGTGTGTCGTGGTCGACTGTCTCGACCGACGCGTCCAACTTCACCATCCTTCTGATCAACCAGGTAAAGGAGGCATTCGGTTCGGCGTGGAGAGAAAGGGCTTTTCTGACCGTCTTTCGCAGAGCAATAACCAGGACTATTCGCAGGTCCTTGACTCACTCGTCGAGGGTGACCTCGACACGATCAGCGTCAACGCACCCAGCGGCGGTTGGCCCACCGGTTCGGACTATCGCGTGAACTTCGTCAAGAGCAGTGAAGAAACCAGCACTATCTACGCTCAGTCGGACGAGTTCAACATCACCGCCGTCGCATCCTCCAGCGCTGCATCTGGATCCAGTACGGCCGCTTCGTCATCTGGATCCAGCACGGCCGCCTCGTCGTCTGGTTCGAGCTCGGCCGCGACCACTAAATCGACTTCGTGAGTTATAGTCGCGTTTCATGGCAACTGCACTGTTCTGATAATGGTTTTATAGCGGCACAACTGCCACCGCTACGGAGGCCACAGGCAGCACGGCCACGTTAGCGAGTGCTACGGGTTCCTCTGCGTCGGCCGCGGCATCCTCTAAGAGCAGCAGCGGCGCCGTCTCCAATGTAGCGCAGAAGGGTCTCATTGGTCTCGCTGCCGTCCTCGGCTTCATGACGCTATAATCCGCTCTTTCTCCCTTTTGAGCGCGAGCAGTGGACGTCAGAACATTTCTCTCTCTTCCCATCCCCACCACCTTCCGAGCATACGAACTTTCTTTTTGTTTTTTTTTGTGGCTTCGCCTAGTCCCTCTGGCACACATCCGACTTTTTCTTTCTTCCACCCTTCCCCGTCGCTAAACAGCGTTTTAACTTATAGTAGTACTAACATCCGGTGGTTCAGACTGTCGGACTCTGAACTTTCTAAGACATGCCCTTTGTAACCTACTTACTGGGGTTCGCATCTATTGTTGTTGTCGTTGCCATGTAGCTCCAATCCGTGACCGTTACTTCCCTCTTCCTAGTTGCGGCTCCCCCGAACATTACCCCCTTTTAATGTAGCTCTACCGCGAGCATTGAAGACCACTTACACTCACGATACGCTACTTTTTTCTGTTGGGTCGTTCTATATGATATCTGGGTTCACATAGCGATATATACTGCGTACATAATAGAAGGAGGTCGGAGCCACACCTGAACGAGGTGAACGAGGTAGCGGGCGGTCGTGCGAGGTTTCATACAAAATGCAACATCTAATTATCTCTGTAAGACCAGTGAACAGCGTCGGTAGTGTAACGGTTAACATTGGGTCTTCCCATATATAATCAGTGTATGATGAATTGGCCTAGCTCCGGGTTCGACTCCCGGCCGACGCAATGAAGTCTGATCTTTCATTTTAAATGTGCATACGTATGTATATATCGGCCATAATTACAAGGGTTTTATAGCTGAATTTTGCTTTGTGGAGGATATATGAATACTTCAATATTCACCTTTTCCCTCGTCTCTCCTTATTTTTTTTTTTTCGTTCCACGTTTCGAGAAGCTTGACGATCATACATACGTTCGTACATTGGTACTCTCGAGAATGACTTGTGTTCTTTATCCTGAAGCTTTAGGTAGGACGAATAGTAAATTTTAAAGATGTGTGTAATTGGGTTTATAAGACATGGTGTCGCTTATGAGCTTATGCGTGTCCCCCATTAAAGCTGAGTTACTCAGAATGGTACATGTACAATGCTTAGTAAAGTAGTAGTAGTCGTTTGATTGTCTTAGTGAGTTCCGTCATGACAAGTCGTGAGCGAATGCTAGATTACGTGATACATATATGTATATATTTGTGTGGTATGTGTGTGGGGGACAGAGGAAAACAGAGCGAGCGGACTGAAGAGACGATGAGCGGGGAAAGAGATATAAGAGGGGCGAAGACAACCGGGTAAGAAAGATGTGAGACGAGAGAGGCGAACGGACGAGTTGGCAGATGAGAGAGGTTCGTGGAATGGAAAAGACGTGGAATGATACGCAGGAACGGTGCAATAGGAAGATATGAAAAGACGAAGAAAAGTGGGGAGGGGTATATGTAAACCGAATCCATCAATGACATATCCGAACATTACAATTCGCACCGTGCTCCGCCATAGGTATGAGCGAATGAACTAAAACCGTGAAGCAAAGAATGACAATCGCCTATAAGCAGCACCAGTCCTATGCCCCTGCAAAAAAATCGGGTGAGCACAAACAAAAAAGACAGAGTACAAAACGCGCCTACCGAGCGCGTGCTTCTTATAAACAAGCACGACAGAATATACACCGTCCTTTCTAACCATTGGCGCCCACCGGCGATGCAATTTGAGGGATGAATGGTCAAAAGCCGCCCAAGCACCCATCGTCCGCAAAGATACTCTCATTGTCGTTCGCTGCTGCATTGGAAAGCTTCGCCCAGCCAGTACTATAAGTACGAGGATGGCGTCGCGGACGCTTCGATCGTATTATCGGACTGCTCGTCTGCGCAGACGGTGCTGTTGTTGAGTCAGAAAACAGCAGAGAAGGCGATGACGCGCGCGACGCCGCATGACTGGCGGCAGGCGACGAAGGCTGTGTAACGGGCAAGTTGTGCGTACGCGACCGCGGCGATAATGGCGACATCGGACTGTGTGGGAAGAACGATAAAGCCTTCGGGTGTGGCGAAAACACAAAGTTGGAGTGATCGCTGATAATGGCGATATTGTCCTCGTCCGACCGCACGTCGGACTCGTCGGATGGCTCGGAAGACGAAGACGACGAGTAGGATGAGTACGTCAGATCGGGAACGTTGTTCAAGTCCGCAAGCGTTGCAGGTGCGGATACCGGTCGTCGTTGCTGCAATTGCTGATGATGACTATGTTTGCGAGAATCACGGCGCGGCCGAGCGACCACCCGCTTCTCAAGCGGCAACTGTGGCAGCACCGGCTCGTGACCATCCTGCGCCTCGAACGCTCGCGGGTGGAAGTAGCTGCCGATGGGCGTATGGGACCGGCGCGGGATGGCCCTCTGCTGCTGCTGCTGCTCCCGTGAGTACTGGCAAGGGAGAGGTGCAGCAGTAGTCAGGCTTGACATGACGCGCGCGCCGCGTTCCGGTAGCGCGAGATCGAGGGCCGCGCTGCTGTCGACGATGATCGGCGCACGGTCGTACGCTGTACACGAGTGCGTTAGCCGCATCGAAGCGAGCGCGGGTGTCGGTGGGAAATGCACGTGTGGAGAGCGTGGAGGGCCAGCCAACACATCGCATTGTGGCCACACCCCGAATGGGCTTGCGGGTGGGAACGAAGCGGAAAAGGTGGGCGTAGGTAACGGCGGTGGCAGGTTCGGCGGTCGTACACGTTTCAGGCGTGGTGGCTCGAGGAGACTGTTGGATTCAGGATGACGAGCGTTCCTGAGTATGGGCCGCAGAGGTACGGTGGTGGGCTCGCCACGGTTGGTAGAGCTGGAGGCCATGACGCTCGCAGGAGACCGTGGCTGCGGTGTACGAACTGATATCGGAGGTTGTATATGTATTAATGATTATCTGGCGGCGAGGAGGCCGGCCCTGGGGCAGCTGAGCTCGACCGGCAAGGTCAGCCTTCTGCAGGGGAACCCGGGAAACCTGTTACAAAAGCAAGCGATGTTTGTATTTATGGACGACAGGAGCATCGCGCGTGGCTGAAAGAGATAGCGGTCAAAACATGGACAGACCGAGATGGAAATCCAGGTCCATGGTTCTATCGATAGCGATATCGCACATGAGGATCATCAGAGGATGGGGTATGTGCGAGCCGGTCCCGGGGAGCTCCAAGGTTCACTTGGGACGAGTCCAATGTTGCTGCTACGTCGGCCGGCTCGTGGGTCTATATACGCGCAGTGGGCCTGTCGTCAAGAAAGCTAGGTGGGGTCACGCCCGCAGAAGTTGGCTCAGCAATGGCTATGCAGCGCACCACTGGTTGTTAGCCCTAATTCTAAAGTGGTGCTCAGCACCAATTGTGGCGTTAGCCTCAATTTTCAATCCGTTGTCCACAGACCTCAATAATATAGCTCGAGACCATTAACCGCTGGGCAAGCCTTAGGAAGCCTTGTCCGTCTTCATACCCAGCTAATCAGCGCCGATATGGAAAAGCCGGCACTGGTGGTACGGGCTTGCCCTGGCTGGACAGTCCAATTTGTGATCAGGCGCCAGATGAATTCTGCATCGATATGGTTATCCAGGACCCCGGAATATACACTGTGATGTCTGAGTCCATGTCGGACACGAACTTGGGTCTGAGCGGCCGCAGGCCGGATTTTTTGTCGGACATGGGGCCAGCCGGCGCAAGACAGGCCGAATTTAATTGTCGGACATCAGCCTTGGCTACTCGCGAGGCCGAAGTCGATGTCGGACATGGTGTAGCGGAACCTTCGTGAGCTGGCGTTGCAATTACCCTTCGAGGGGTGTGGGTTCGAGCCCCAATTATGCCTTCCTGTAGCAAATCGTCTGTTTCAGTCGGTTTTTGTTGCATATTCTCGGTATACATAGCAGTGAACTCCCGCAGAAAAATGATCTGTCTTCAAGATGTGGACTGTATAAACTGACATTGTGTGTATCAACGTATTTAGAGCCTTACTGCTCGAAACTCGTGCATAAATTAGGCCGTATAACATCTTGTAGTAGCTAGGAAGGTACAGGGAGAAAAAAAATCGAAAAACAGTTGTTTTTGAGGCCGAATACCGTTGTCGGACGTGAACCGCCCCTCGCGCCGCAGGCCGAATTTTTTGTCGGACATGAGGCTGCTTTCGGCGGTCGCGATGTCGGACACGCCGAGCCGGCCCCAGGATTTGACATCTGGGTGGATATTCCGGGGTCCTGGTTATCCTCAGGCGGGTTGCCAGCGGCGAGCGATGCAATCATCATGTTATCAGGCCCATTCGGAGCGCTTGTCAACCGTTCGCTCGCTCCGATGCCTTGTGGCCTCATCATACCTACTTAAGATAGCTAGTGCAACTCCGGATCCATTGTGGCTTATTATTCATCGCATGTGCTCCACCAACAGTCATATATAATCGACCTAAGAGAGGGTGGAGGCTCTCTCGAATTTCCGTCTGCCTGAGGGGAGACTGATATCGAGCATGCATGGTGTTGTCAAGGAACACATTTGCACTATGTTGTACCTGCGGCATCGACGGCAATGTTCATAGACTTTGGAGTCGTTTACATAACCATGATAGCGATGCCAATTGCAACAATTTGTTGCGATGACCTGCGTGGGCAAGATAAAACTTGCACATTTACACAACTATGCCGGCATATCTGGACCACGCATTGCAATGCACCGAGCTGAGGCAATGACTTCCTAAGGCAGCGCTTTCAGGAGGAAACAATTTACGTGAATCCTGAGGAAGCAAGCACGTGGTCACGTGCATGAACTGGCGACAACCATAACAAGCAAGAACGTTCATCTGAATGCCATTCTTAACAGCGTTAGTTACACCATCATACTCAAACGGATCGGCGGGAAGAAAACACGGTACCCATATAGTCATAAGGTAGCAGAATCATCGTAGAAAACGAGAAAAGAAACAGAGAAACCAGAGTCATGACTCAGTCGACCAAGCGTTTTAAAGAGAAATGTTTTACCTGACGCATCAATGAAACAGAGGCGATCAGAAGCGAGGAGGGCGGTCAAAGTCGCGACCACCGCGGTCGTAGTCGCGGTCGCGTCCTCCGAAGCCACGGTCATCTCGATATCCACGGTCGTCGCGGTCCTTGCCGATTCCACGGTCGTCATAGCGGTCGCGGCGAGGCGGATAGTCGTCATATCGGTCGCGTCGGTCGCGCGAATAGCGGCTGTCATAGGGACGTGGGTCGTATGGTCGCTCGTCTGCGTACACAGCATGTCGTCAATACATTATCTCAAAGCGAGGATGATCACGTGATACTCACATCCACGATCACTACGCTTCGGAGGACCGTAGTAACGACCTGGCGTAGGCGTGCGGGCACGACCACGACGAGCCTAATACATGGCCGAGGTGAGATAGATTGAAGTGTTACATGGTAGGAAACAAACCTTTTCTACATGAATAACCTTGCCCGAAATTTCAGTACCATTGAGAGCCGTGATTGCAGCGTCAGCTTCTTCAGGGCTTTCCATTGTAACGAACCCAAAGCCACGGGATTCGCGTGTATGAGGGTCGTACATAACAGAGGCCTTTTGAACCTGCGACGAATAAGTGACCCTGTCCTACGAATTTTGAACAAGATACGACTTACTCGTCCAATTTTGCCGAAGATCGTCTCGAGCTCACGGTTGTCGACACGGTGGGAAAGGCTGGATACGTGAAGGTTGTTGCCAGGATTCGTGCCGCCTCCGCCTTCGCTGCGTCTGTAA